TTTTTTTTGGTACCAGGAATCAAACTCAGGTCCTTCCGCTTGCGAGGCAGGCAGTGGAACCACTGAACTAAATCCCCAGCCCTCTAGGCTGTGTTTGATGCTACTGTTTTATTGCTGATTGTACTATGTTAGCCAAGGTGACATAATTGTTTTAATCAGTTGCTCTTCCTGGTATGCCAAGCCTGAAATAGTCAAAGAGTCATAAACAATACGATAGGCCAGTGCCAAAGAACCAGAGGCTAGTCCAAATAGGCAGCAACTTTTCATCCCCAAAAAACTGAAGTGTAGGATCTTGCAACATACCAAAACTCAAAAGCCAGCTACACCTGAAGATATCTCTGAGAAGTAGTCATTTCCTAAGGGTTCTAAATACTAGTTTTATCAATTCAGGAATAAAAGTTTAAAAAAAGACAATGACAAGACATTAAAGCAACCTCAGACTTCCAGCTCACCAAAGGCAAACCCAAGGCGCAATGAGGTGGAACAATTTGAAAGTCACCCACTTAGAATCACCCACTTAGAATCTCTGAAGTGGTAATAGCAGAAGTAACAAAACAGATGAATAAGGCTGTAGAAGAAATCAAATCAGAAATAATCTCTCAGATAACTACAGGGATGGCAACCATAATGAAAGACATGATTAGTGACTCTACAGGAGAAACAGATCAAAACGGGGGGGTGGGGATTTAGCTCAGTGGCACTGCACCTGCCTTGGAAGCGCAAGGTCCAGAGTTCAATCCCCAGTATCGTAAAAAAAAAAAAGAAAAAGAAAAAAAGAGGTATTTAGGAAAATGATGGAAACCATGAACTCTCAACATAGGAAATATATAAAATCCATGAAACCATTTCAATTTTAGTATATGTGAAAAGTGGAGCACCATGAAACCATTTCAAACAGATATCCAGGAAATTAAAAATTCCAATGAAAGTATATGCAGCAGAACGGCCAAAGTGAGGACAGAATATCAGATATATAGAAGACAGGATTTTGGTTAGGGATCATGAAAAGAAAGATTTCTTAAAAATAGCAAGGGACCATGAAAAATCAATGCAACAGCTGTTAGATGATAAAAAGAAAAATAACAGGATTGATCAGAGTCAATTTAAAAGAAGATGCACAAACAACATATAAAATCTGTTTGTTCACAGAAGTAATGGCAGAAAACTTCTCAAGCATGGAAAAAGAATGACATACAGGTAAGTGAGGCATATAGAACTCCAATTAGCCATAATCAAAAAAATCTACATCAAGGCATATGATAGTTCAGATTCCAGAAATTCAACATAAGAACAGAATATTAAAAACTTAAAAAAAAAAAAAAAAAAGAAACAAATCACCTACAAAGGAAAACCCACCAGAATCACAGACTTCTCAACACAAACCCTCAAGTCAAGGTGAGGTTGGAGTAAAGTATTTCAAGCCCTAAAAGAAAACCTTAAGCCCAGATTGATGTATTCCACAAAATTATCTTTCAAAAATAGATGGAGAAGGCCGGGGATTTAACTCAGTGGTTTCGCAGCCTGCTGTGCAAGCTCAAGGACCCGAGTTTGATCCCCGGTACCAAAAAAAAAAAAAATAGATGGAGAAATAAATATACTTCCATGACAAAAAACACCTGAAGAAATTCATGACCACCAAACTAGTGCTCCAAAATGTTAAGGACATTCTAGAAAGAGATACAGAGGACTACAACTCTATAAACCCCAACAGAATGAATCCACCAGGCAAGGCAAGTAATTAAACAGGAGGGGGGAAAAAAGGGAACCAACAACAGAAAAATAACATGACAAGGATAAGTCAATACATATCAGTCAAAACCATCAATGTAAATGTTCTCAATTCACCAATCAAAAGAAACAGATTGGCAGAATGGATCAAGAAGCAAGATCTAGGGGCCGGGGATTTAGCTCAGTGGTTTTGCCACCTGCTGTGCAAGCGCAAGGACCCAAGTTCAATCCCCAGTACAAAAAAAAAAGAAGCAAGATCCAACAATATGCTGCATACAAGAAATACATTTAACTCAAAAAAAAATTCATAGACTGAACTTCAAAGGATGGAAAATAATACTCCATGTGACCAGGAACCCAGAAAAAAGCAGGGGACAAAGTGGATTTCAAGCCAAGACTATTAAGGAAAACAAAGACAGTCCCTATATCTTTGTAAAGGGAACAATCCAAGAGGAAGAGATAGCAATCATAAATATATATATGCACCAAATACCAGTAAACCTAACTATATAAAACAAACACTAACAGATATGAAAAGTCAAGTAAGCACTAATAAAATTGTAATGGGGGACCTCAATACCCGCCATCACAAATCAATCAACTAGACAAAAAAAAAAATCAACAAAGAAATGTTGAAGTGAAACATCTGAATAAGTAGATTTAGCAGATGTCTACAGAATATTCACCCCACAACATCAGAATACACATTCTTTTTTTTTTTTGGTACTGGGGACAGAACCTGGGTCCTCAGCTTGCGAGACAGGCGGTGGAACCACTGAGCTAAATCCCCAGCCCCAGAATACACATTCTTCTCAGCTGCACACAGGACATTCTCCAAAACAGACCACATATTAGTTCATAAAACATGTTTAAGTAAATGCAAAGAAACTGAAATTATCTCATGCATAGTAGCAGACCACAATGCAATGAAATTGGAAATAAATGGCAAAAGAAACCACAAAACTTCATTAATACATGGAAATTAAATGACAACCTCCTGAACAACCAATGGGTCACAAATGAAATTAATGAAAAAAATTGGAGTTTGTATAATTAAATAATAATGCCAATACAACATATTGGAACTTACGGAACACAATGAAAGCAGTCCTACGAGGGAAATTTATAACAGTGAATTCCCATATCAGAAAAACAGAGGACACTCAAGTAAACAACCTAATGTTGAACCTTTAGCTTGTAAAAAAAGAAAAGCAAGTGAAGCCCAAAGCTCAAATGAGGGAGACAATTATAAAGATCAGAGCAGAAATTAATGCAATGGAGACTAAGAAAACAATACAAAGAATCAATAAATCAGAGTTAGGTCTTTGAAAGACTAAATAAAATTGACAAACCCTTAGCCAACCTTAAATTAAAAAAGGAAAGAAAAGATTCAAATCCATGCAATTAGGAATTTAAAGTGTAAAATCACAACAGATCCTGCAAAAATGCAGATCATCAATACCTACTTCAAGAACCTGCAATTTTTTTTTATAAGTTTTTTGAGACAGGGTCTGTGTAGTCCAGGCTGGCCTTGAACTCACTATGTAGCCTATGCTGGCCTTGAACCATGGCATCCTCCTGCTTCAGCCTCCCAAGTGCTGGGATTACAGGTGTGTGCTACCACACACAGCAAGAAACTGTATTCTAATAAAATGGAAAACATAGAAGAAATAGACAGATTCATAGATACATATAAATTACCAATGCTGAATCAAGAAGATATAAAAATCCTAATTAAACCAATATCAGTCAGTGAAGGTGAAGATGTAATTAAAAACCCACCAGGGCCGGGGATTTAGCTCAGTGGTTTTGCCGCCTGCTGCACAAGAGCAAGGACCTGAGTTCGATCCCTAGTACCAAAAAAAAAAAAAAAAAACCCCAAAACCCCCAAAAAACCTGCCAGCAAGGCCCTGACAGATTCACTGCTAAATTCTTCAAGAAATTTAGGGCTGGAGATTTAGCTCAGTGGTTCCGCAGCCTGCCTTGCAAGTGCAAGGACCTGAGTTCGATCCCCGGTACCAAAAAAAAAAGAAATTTAGAGAAGGGGGCAACCCACTTTCCAGTCTCCCTTTTGTCTCTCTTAGGCAGAAGCTTTCTTTCTCCCAATAAATTTTTCCTACTCTTAAAAAACAAAAAAACAAACAAACAAAAAAAATGAAATTTAGAGAAGACCTAATGCTACTACTTCTCTACTTCTTCAATGAAATTGAAAGGAAAGCTCCCTTTTCCCAAATTCATTCCTGGAAACAAGCATTACCCTGATACCAAAACTAGAATCAAAAAAGAGAATTACAGGCCAATCTCCCTAATGAACATAGATGCACAAATCTTAATAAGATACTGGCAAACAGAATGCAACAAATCATCAAGAAGATTATACACCATGCAAGTAGGATCCATCCCAGGGATGCAGGGATGATTCAACATATGCAAATTAATAAATGTAATACACCATATTAACAGAGCCAAAGACAAAAACCACATGATCAAAAACAAAAAATACCCCACATGGTCATCTCAATAGATGCAGAAAAATTTTTGACAAAGTCCAACACCCATTCATGATAAAAACTCTACAGAAAATTGGAATAGATGGTGTTTATCTCAATCTGATAAAAGTCATCTATGACAAACCAACAGCCAACATCGTACTAAATGGTCAAAAACTGAAAGCTTTCACTCTAAAATCAGAAACAACACAAGGATGTCCATGATCACCACTCCTGTTCAATGTAGTTTTGGAAACATTAGCCAGAGCAATTAGACAAGAGAAAAAAGTAAAAGGAATAAGGATAGGAAAAGAAGAAGTTATTATTTGCAGATGACATGATATTCTACATGATATGCCACCAAGACTTTTAGATTTAATAACCAAATTCAGTAGCATAGGTGGATACAAAGTCAACACTCAAAAATCAGTAGCCTTGCTGTACACGAATAACAAACTCATGGAGATAAATCAGGGAAACACCTTTCACAGTAGCATCAAGAAAAATGAAATACTTAGGAATCAATCTAGCTATACACTGAAAACTATACTACTCTGAAAAAAGGAGATCGAAGAAGATAACAGAAAATGGAAAGATATTTCCTATTCTTCAATAGGAAGAACTAATATAGCGAAACTGGCCACACTTCCCACACTTTTATACAGATTTAATGTAATCTCAATCAAAATATCAACAGTATACCTCACACAACTAGAGAAAACTATCCTAAAATTCATTTGGAAACAGAAGAGACCCTTTACAAATTTGGAGGAAAAAGCATACCTGTTCCCAGTGTTAATTTTTTCCAGGTCGTTTTTAAGTGCAGCTGAAAGTTGCATCCTGGAAGGAAAAGGCTTGCATTGTAAAACATAGATAACATATTGTATATTAAAAATAGTTCCTAACTATAAGTTAAAGATTGATTTCCCTTAAAAGATATGCAGGTTTTAAGCAAAATTTGCACAGTAAATACTTTCAGACATAAATCACAAAATATGAAGTAACTCCAAGACAGCAGAGGCTATAGCACACAGCCGTGCATGTCCTGCCCAGGGCTGCATGGACCTGAACCCACCCTGAGCTGGATGCAGTCTCTACCCGTGCAGGGCTGGGTAGTGCTGAGGACCACAGAGACCAGTGTAGCCTGAGACAAGGAAGTCAGGGAACACACAGCCATTTGGACTGGAAACTCAGAACTGCTGCTGTAGTTTACAATCTAACTCAAGGAGCTAAAAACAGGTAATAACGAACAGTAAGCAGGGCTTGGGATATAGCTCAGTGATAGAGTACTGTTTCCAGTACCCCACAAGGAATAAATCAAGAAAGCAACTCAGTAGTGGTAGTGTTATTTCTTCCCTACATAAGCAATTTAAAAAACTGTCCTTTTGTTGGTACCGGGAATTGAACTCAGGACCTTGAGCTTGCAAGGCAGGGGGCAGAACCACTGAGCTAAATCCCCAGCCCAAAAAACTTTACTTTTTTTATTAAATCTACAAAGAAACTCAGGAATGCCAGAAACAGAAAGAAGTAACTATAATAAAAGTTACTGAGTGCAAGGTCCCAAGTTCGATCACCAGTACCAAAAAAAAAAAAGTCTATAACCTACTGTGTTTGTCTTAATATATTCCTGAGACATAAGGATGAGGACATAGTCCAAGAAATGTATCACTAGGTGATTCTGTCCTTGTGCAAATGTCACAGAGTGGACTTAAACTAAGATGGCTATGATGCCACTGCATGATATAATACTGTGCCACCACTGTTTTCTATGTAGTTTGTCACACAATACATGACTGTAGCTCTGTACCAGCACAGACCAGGACAGAGTACTTATATTCAAATATTTGTTGAATGATCACAAGCACAAGGTCCCGAGTTCGAACTCCAGTACCAAAAAAAAAATATTTGTTGAATGAATTAGGACCAATAACTAAAACTATATTTAATCTGGGTGCTCCAGCACATACATGTAGTCCCAGCTACTTGGTATTGCTTTTTTTTTTTTGGTACCGGAGATCAAACTCGGGTCCTTGCCCTTGCAAGGCAGGCGGCGGAACCACTGAGCTAAATTCCTGGCCCAAGTCCCAGCTACTTGGGAAGCTGAGGCACGAGGATCCCTATAGCCCAGGAGTTTGAGACCAGCCTGAGAAACACAAGAGACTCCTTATCTCAGGAAAAAAAAATAGTCAATAATATTCTAAAAAATAAAAATTAAGCCTGACGACAATTCTTTTTCTGAATTAATACTATAATAAATAAATAAATCTATGTATTCCTTTCAAAGAACAGAATGAGATTTATCCATATACTTCTCTTGTCTTAATTAAAGTATCCTTACTAACCCTACTCTATGTAACTTCTTCTGAGGAAGATAGTAATGTAAATTTTTCTCTCAGGGTTCAATTTTTTTTTGAGGCAGGGTCTCACTATGCAGTTCAGGCTGGCCTTGAACTTGTAATCCTCTTGCCTCAGCCTCCTGAGTGCTGGGGTTACAGGGGTGTACCTCCTCCCTGGCTCTCAGGATTCAATTTCTTGTGACTATTATCTAATCATCATTTCACTTGACTAATTCATTTATCCCAGTTAAAAAAAAGCCCTCCACCTTGCCGTCATACCCATTTCTTATTCTTTTTTTTTTTTTTTTGGTACCGGGGATTGAACTCGGGTCCTTCTGCCTGCAAGGCAGGCAGCAAAACCACTGAGCTAAATCCCCGGCCCCCTCATACCCATTTCATAGTAAGTTCATAATGCTTATACTCAAAATGTAATAGTTACCTGCTCAGTGCAAGACTTTTCATTTCCAAGGCAATTTTTACTTCTTCAATTTCATTTTGTAGGTCTTCAACTTTACTATTAAAGAAACATAAAAGAATTTCAGTAACATCAGAAAAAGCCATTATTGAAATAAATGAAACAAACCTTTGAAAAGAGTAAAATACCTCTATTTGAAGAGAAGTATTCTACTGGCTTACCATATCAATGCATTGTTACAGATTTGGTAAGCTGGGCCGGGGATTTAGCTCAGTGGTTTTGCCACCTGCTGTGCAAGCGCAAGGACCTGAGTTCGATCCCCAGCACCAAAAAAAAAAAAAAAAAATTACAGCTTTGGTAAGCTGAGGGTTTTTTTGGCAGTACTGGGGATTGAATCCAGGGCCTTCATACTAAGCCACATTTCCAGTCCTCTTTTTATTTTTATTTTGAAACAGGGAAGTTGCTAAATTGCCCAAGTTCGGTTCAAACTTGGCAATCCTCCTGCCTCAGCCTTACAGAGTGCTGGGATTACAGCAAAATTGATTCTTTCTTTTTTTTAAACTGAGAATAAAGTTTAAATAAAACATTTTCATTACGTTGTCATTACATCATAGTGGTGAAGCTTTTTTAAAAGACAGATGTTTTCTGAGTTTTCTCAGTATCTTCTAAAAGGATGCCATAAAACACTAATGTGCTCACTCATCTATATGAAAGTCTCTATTCCAATCAATAACTTCCCAATATGTGCATCAAAAATTATTTGGAAAAATAAAAGAAAGGAAAAAGGTAGCTAATGCTATAACAGGGACAATATGAACTTTTAAAAATAAATTTTATTAATGGTACAAGATCCCAATGATGAATGTAACTGTATTTTATACTTAAAATGTACCAATAAAGTTAATGGGGAAAAAAAAATTTTTTATTTTATCCCATTCCCCTCCTCAAGCTCCCTCCCTTCCCTATGTACAAAAGCTTTGTTTCCATTTTTCCTTGTATTTTCACTTTTTTCTTGTCCCTTCCTTCCTTTCTCCCTCCCTCCTCCCTTATTCCCCTTCCCATTTGAACCCTTTCTCCCCATTTCCCAACATCCATTATACATTTTGGTTTCTCACCAGAGAAACAATGTGGTATCAGGGACAATATGATTAAATCATAGAAAAACTACAAATAAAAATTTAAAATATGACATACGCTTCAATTTGTTTTTCTTGTATGATTTGTTCTGGAGTTTTTTCTTCATCTACAAATAAATAATTTTTTGAAGTTAGTAACATTTTAGAACAACATTATGCAAAAGGAATATAATGTATACCACAAATACAAAAGATAAAACTTTGTATATCAGTTTATATAGTACAAAAGTAAAGAAAAACACATGAGATTACTTTTTTTGGGGGTGTTACCAGGGATTGAATTTGGGACCTTGCATTTTCGAGGCAGGTGGCGGAACCACTGAGCTAAATCCCCGGAGATTAATTTTAATATAGTTATTTAGTCCAATAAGTCTCAATTATTATTCCAATATGTAATCAATTTAAAATTACTAATGACATATTCCACATTTCCTTCTTCTAGGTATATTTTATATATAGCCTGACTCAATGAAGACCAACCACACTTCAAGTTTCAATAGCCATATAGAATTAGTGGCTGCCATAGCACTGGTAGACAGAACATCATTAATTACATTTCTATGGAGAGGGAACTGAGGATTGAACTCAGGCTTCATATATGCTAAGCCAGTGTTCTACCACAGAGGTGTATATCCTCAGTCTGAAAGAACTGTTTTAGGGTGACAAAAAATAGCTGGGCATCAAAAAGCCAATTAATGTCAAAAAGCCAATTATAGGTTATATATTAGCAACAAGCAATTAGAAATTGGGCTGGGTTTGATCCCTGGAACCAACACGAAAACAAAAACAAAAGAAATTGGGCTGGGGATTAGCTCAGTGGTGCCTCACCTGCCTTGCAAGCGGAAGGTCCTGAGTTTGATCCCTGGTACCAAAAAAACAAAACAAACAAAACCAAGCAATTAGAAAATAAATTTAAATTTATAAACAATGGCATTCAAGGGCCAGGGATTTAGCTCAGTGGTTTCACCGCCTGCTTCGCAAGCACAAGGACCCAAGTTCGATCCCCGGTACCAAAAAAAACCAAACCAAAACAACAACAACAAAAAACAATGGCATTCAGAAGCATTAAATACTGAAGGATAAATTTTTTTCAAAGTATATGTTCTTTACACTGAACACTACTAACTACTGAAATGGATAGATATACTATGCACATATGTCAGGAGAATCCATACTGTTAACATACTATAGCAGTTTTCTTATCAGTATATAGATTCCAATCAAACCCTAGTCAAACTACCTCAGTGGGACAAGAGAAAAAAAAAGCCCAGTACTTTCTATGATAATGGAAATATTTCATATCCACATTGACCAATAGGGTACCCAGTAACTTCTAGCACTCTGGGAGGCTGAGACAGGAATCACAAGACCCCAGCCTGGGCAACTTAGTAACTTAGTGAGACCTTGTCTCAAAATATAAAATAATTAAAAATAGTGGCTTCAATTACCAATACCACAAACAAAATAAGGTGGTGGGATGTTAAACTCTTTTTTCAGAATGGCCACACCCATTATCCTACCTAAAATGTTTCCTCCCTTTTATTAGGCCATCTTTCCTTCTTCACAGGTATCATATTACCTTGCATGTTTCTTTATGTTTTGCTACACTACAACATACATAGACAATGTTTTGTAAAGTTGATTCTCTTTCCTATAGGGTACTGTTCATTATCAAACTCATATAACCTTATTTGAAAATGAAACTACTTACTTGCATCAATCATCGACTTATATTCTAAGAGTTGTTGTTTTGTTTGTGCTCTCAGCCTGTAAACAGATGTAAGAGAACAGTCATATAGCCATGGACTGAGGGGGTTTTTTGGTTATTTTTTTGGTACCGGGTATCGAACTCTAGGAACTTGTGCTGCAAGGCAGGCGGTGTTGGACTGAGGTATTATTATCATACAATGAACTCACGCAAGCTGATGTAATAAAATGGGCATAAATAATGAAAACCAGCATTAAGTCTTCTAGTTAGGCCTCATTTCATTTAAAAATGGGCACAAAAAACTCATTTAAAAAGGGCACAAAATGGCTGGGGATTTAGCTCAGTGGTTCTGTTGCCTGCCTCACAAGCGCAAGGTCCCGAGTTTGATCCCGGTACCAAAAAAAAAAAAAGGCACAAAAGCCGGGCAATAGCTCACGCCTCTAATCCCAGCAGGATCACTTCGAGTTCTAGGACAGCCTGAACTACATAGTGAGACCTTGTCTCAAAGAACTTTTAAATTTTCAGAGGAAGACACAAAATGGAATGCAGTGGGAAAACGTTCTGTAGTGCATATCACTATGTGGCCCAGGCTGGCCTTGAACTTCCCATGGTTCTGCCTCAGCCTCCCAGTGCGGGGACTACAGGTGTGCGCCACTGTGCCCCACAGGAGGGAATTTTTACAGTGATACTACGAGGTTTACTTACTAGCCAAGACCTTTTAAAGCAATAAAGCTAAAAATACAATCATAATGCTTTTTTTTTTTAAGTCCCCTTACTATGATTTAGAAAAAAAGGTCTGCAAACCTTTTTATTTTTCCTGTAAAGGACCAGCTATCAAATAGTTTAGGCTTTGAGGGTCTTATGGTCTAACTACTCAGCTCTGCCTTTGTAGCAGGAAGTTACGTTCCGAGAAAACTACTTATGGACACTGGCATTTACATTTCATATAATTTTCATGTGTCGGGAAATCTTCTTGCGACCCCCTCATCATTTAAACACATGAAAACTATTCTCACTCTGAATGGCCATAAAAAAGTGGGGAGTAGGGCGGCTTTGGCTCAAGGCCTGTCTGGCCATTGGTTTAGAAGACTGATGTCCCTTGTCATCAAATGTTCCCTACCACCTTCTTAGTCCAAAAGGAAAGGCATCGCCGGTTCGGGGCAAGCGACCGGAGGAACAACCTGAACAGCAGCGCCATGTGGTCCTCGCTGCGTGCTTCCCGGGCGCCGGCGACCTGCGGCGGCCCGCCTGCCCCTCCGGGGTCCGAGGACGCCGCCCCTGGCGGGTCCTCCGCCTGCTGCTCCATCGCCGGCTGGGCGGCGCCAAGAGAGAACCAGGGACAGTCAGAGGCGACTCGGAAGACGCCGCTTTTCCCGCCACAGAATCGACGCCCGGAAAGAGACCACGCGTCCCGCCCCTTCCGCCCGAGGCCACGCCTCTTCTGCCCTGGCTCGGGTCACGGTGGTTACTGCTTTCTCCTTTCCGGGGTTTACTCCGGTAGGAGTGGTATGGGCCACTAGTAAACGGTTCCAGGAGCCGGGATGGGGTACAGCTCAGTGATAGAGCACTTGCTTAGCATGTGTTGGACGTGCAGCGCCAAAACAAAACCTCTGTCCCCTTTAAAAAAAAACAACCCGCAATCGCCGCCTGCCGCTCAAGGTGCCGAGTTCGATCCCTGGTAC